ATGTAATTACGCCTTATCTTTTGCTTTAGCGTTTCAATGTCACTGTAATCTTCGATTCAGTACAAGTTTCTGTCGAAATGTAATCAAATCTTATCCCAATTTTCATCTCTGTGCTCCGGATTGTTTCGTATCTGACCTAATTTAGATTGATTTCTTCTCCTACAATTTAGTAGTTTGAGCCGCGTATAATGATTTGTCAATAAAATTGGCATAAATCTCTAGAATTCTGCCTCTACATTGAGAAAAAATTAACATGAAATTGAACTTGTGACATCAACTTTGCAAACATTGACGGTGATTCAAGTGACCGGAGGATGAATTTGACGGTGGTGTAGGATGAAGAATCGGTGGTTCAAGTGACCGGAGGTTTATCTGAGCTGCGGTAATAGGAAAGATAAAACGACATCGGATCGTAGATTCGTACGGTTGTGGAGTTAAACCGGATCAATACCGTTCGAAGATAATACTAAACCGAAATGAACCGATATACATTTGGTTGGTTACTGATTACAGTGTCCTGTATCTTTTTTAGTTTCTCTGGAAATTGGACCCTTTCTCTTAACGTCCCTCAGATTTCACCAGCTGTGAGAAAACTTTACTCATGGAAACACCTGAAAGATCATCAACACTCGACTCTTCTTCTTGAAACTGTCTCTCTCTAGCTACACCAACGTTAACGCTCGTGTCTCCACGGTTGTTGAAATCATTGAACCGTAAAGGTAACTCACCGATAATGTTCGTGCTGTTATCATCTTCTTGATCATCACCATCAATGACTGCTTCTTGTAGCTGCAAAGCGTATTCAAGATTCCACAACACATCTCCCATTGACGGTCTATCGACTCCGAAATCAGCTAAACATTTCTCCCCTGTTTCACCAAACTTCCTTAACGAATCGGGTCTGATTTTACCGTGTAAGGACGGATCGATGATATGTTCAAGCTGCCCTTTCTTCTGCCATTTCATCGCCCATTCCGCAAGATTCACCATCTCTCTAGTGAGTGTCGGGTCTATAACGGGTCTTGCGCATAGAACCTCGAACATAACGACTCCGAATGAGTAAACGTCCGATTTCTCAGTCAGCTGTTGCCTTCTGAAGTATTCTGGATCAAGATACCCGAAACTTCCTTTGACCGCAGTACTCACATGAGTCTGATCGATCTCGGGTCCGGTCTTGGACAATCCAAAGTCTGCAACTTTAGCCATGAGATTCTCGTCGAGCAATATGTTTGCGGATTTCACATCTCTGTGGATCACGGGTTTTGAGTCACCGGTATGGAGATAATGCAACCCTCTAGCTGATCCAATACATATCTCAAGCCTTTGTTTCCAACTCAAGCTTGGAAGACCAGAGCCGTAAAGGTGACTCTTCAATGTTCCGTTCTCCATATATTCGTAAATCAGGATCATCTCGTTGTTCTCGTCGCAGTAACCGATCAGAGAAACCAAATGGCGATGACGGAACTGAGATAGCATTTCGATTTCTGTCCTGAACTCTGCAAGACCTTGCTGAGACTTGGGGTTCCCTCTTTTAACAGCCACTTGAGTGCCGTCGTGAAGCTCTCCTTTGTACACTTTACCAAAACCGCCTACTCCAATGGCTCGATTCTCGTCAAAGCTATTTGTCGCCTCTTTAACCGCTGCAAAAGGAATTCGGTAACTGGAATTGGAAGTTACGCTTGTAATTGTAGTTCCATTTGAGTCTGAAGTAGCTCCACTAGTAGACAAAGGAATCCAAGTCTTTGACTGACCATCTTGACCTCGCCCTCGTTTCTTGAACAGCAAAAAGAAACCTCCTAAAACCACTAAAGCAAACAATGGACCGACTGTCGCACCAACGATCATACCGATGTTCTTCTTCTTCGTGGTTGAGTTTGAAGCACCAGGCAAAAATGTCCCCATACTGAGCTGGCCTTTGGAGTTATTCATCTTCATGATCTCTAGTCCGTTCAAAATTGCAGTAGGGTAATCCGTGTGAACAGTCGATGGACCAATGCTCACACGTATTCTATTGTTCTGTTTTGCTGATCCCGTGACATAATCCATTGTGTATGCACCGGCCAAAGTGTTAGATAAATAAGAGCTTAGATCAAGATTCTCGACAACCATCATTGCGTCAACATAAAGATTGAAGTAGAGCTGGTTTAGAGCTTTGCTCACGATATCGCAGAAATGAAACCGAAGGAAGTACTGAAAGTCCGGGACAACATCGAAATCCCAGGTCACATTGAAATTGCTAGACGGATTATCCGCGGAATTCATTTCGGTGCAAGTGCCATAGACAGTTCTTGGAGCAGTATCCTCTGTAGCATAACCAGGAACATAATCAACACTTGCAATCTTAGACACACTCTTAACTAGATTCTTCTCTACAAGAAACTCCGAATCAGGCTCCCAAATTCTCGAAAGAGTATCGTTATTAGGCGTAACACGCGGACCGCCCATGTTCACTCTATGAACCGTCTCAAGAGCTTGCCATGACAAGCCCTGAAACCTCCCGGGACTGCCTGCAAAAGAAGGATCACCACTGATCAATGTATCAGGAATCGATACAACCTCGAGGGCGTTCACAAACGCAAACGAATCACCCGAGGGAGTAAACATGAGCTCGAGATGACTCGTGGCTACATTCAGAGAATATTCCTTCATAACTCTTGATTTCACTGTGAAATCACTCAAGAGCACATGTGTCTGTGAAGAAACAGAGAATTTAGCTGAGCCCATTTCGAAGTTTTTGAACTGAAAAGGACTGAAATGGAGACGAACCCAGTGTCGGCCTCGAGCAACAGAGAATGTGTACTTAGAGATTCCGGTGAAGATTCTCGCCGTCTTGTAAATATCTGAATCGGAACTGCGATTACTCGCGGCGAGGATCTCACTGGGAGAGGTTAAGAGGGTTGAGGCAAGCTTGTCGGAGATGAACACTCGACCAGTTACAGTGATATTGGTCGGTGAACCACAGTTGATTAGGTAATTATTCACAGGTACGTATCCATGGCAGAGGCAGATTAAGCAAGAAATCGATGAAACCCAGATAAAAAATCCAAACTTTTCACCACCCATCTTCACAAAACCTGGAAATTTTTTAAACAATTCGGTGGAATTACTATACAGAGAAATCTATCAGCTAGATTCAAGGATTAGCCATGAGCAAAACTATGGTTTATTTTCTTTAGCAAAGATGGCAACTTTGTGAAATCAGTAACGTTACAGGGATTAATTTTTCATTTCATAACGGACTGATGAAATTAAGCAAGAAAATAACAAATAATATTACCTTTAAGACAAGAAAAAGAAATCCGGAGAAAGTAATTAGTCCATGAAAAGGTAAAAGTTGAGGATTAGCCTTTGGATTTGATCTCCTGATTTTGGGTTTTTTGGTGTTTGGAGCTTAACGCAAGTTTGAGTAGAGAACAGATTTTAGTAACAAGAAAAGGATTTTCTGTGAACTTTGGAAACATAAACTGTATATATGTAAAATATTGAAGTTATTATTAAAATACAATATATGTAAAATACAATCTTTTCATAATTGAATAGATGTATTTGTATGGATACGAAGGAATTGAAGTTGGCTAAAAAACAAAAGACGAAGGAATTGAATTGAATTGTCAGTCTGATTTTTTCTGATGGTTAAGAAAGTCAGGAAGAAGACGAATTTTCCATAAAAAGATTTTACCAAATTTTTTTTGCAGAAACGTAAGTGGTATACTGTATGTTACATTACCGCTTTTAATGTGTCACAACAAATAGCAATAATGTAAATTTTTTGGTCTACAATACTACAAATTTTAATTGTTCACTGTAATTACAATATCCTGTTTGTCTGCATCGTCACTCATAAAGTCCTACTATGTTATCACGTTATGGCAAGGCTCATAATTTTTTTTTTTTTTTCAATTTTTAAAAAATGAGGTAGTGGAGGTTTGGACAAAAGTCGGCATACTTTGGATTTTGTGAATGTTTTCAAGAATATACCAAACTACCGACCATATTTATGAAGAAAGCCTGTTTTTCTTTGCAAACCTTAATTTTACTAATCATAAATCTCCAGGATATATCAAGAAGCGAAATATATTTTTCTATGATTATTATATGATAATACAAAATACGATAGTGAAAATATAGATCTTCACAAAAAAATTGACGGCATAGTAAAAACATCAAAGATGGTCACTTTAAGTAAGCATATATTTCATACAATCTTTTCATAATAATAGCTTTAGAAATATTGTTGGATTTCCGATCGAAAAACTTACATGTCAAAGAGCTACCACCTTTTTTTTAATTTTAAATCAATGATGAATGACGACATTAATTAACCACCCCCATTATTCATTTACATGGAATAACATATTTTATTTGCAAGGAATGATAAGATCCCCACTACATATGATCAAAATTGCGATACTATATGATCGATCCACTATATTTTCCTTGCGAGTTGGGAATTTTATAATATAATTCTTAAAAATCAACCTAAAAAGACACATGTGGATCTGTTTTTTTGCCGACGGGAAAAAAGACACCTTTAAATCCGACATTTGAACGTAGAAACAACAATATTATATGTGTTACGTGATTGAGGACACTGGAGTAGACAGTTCTCGAGCTTAATGGATTAGAATTTTGAAAAAAAATTAGACTATCGTAATATTAAGGAATATTGGAATCAATCA